AAGCATCCAGTGCTTCGGCGCTGCAACGCGCTTCAGGTGCTTCTTCGGTCCTCTTGCCTGGTTAAGAGAAACCAACATCGGTTAATAAATGTAACAAACACTTGGTGTGGAAGTCCAAGAAAAGAACTGGAATCAGAACTGTACACTTTCGGTAAATATGTTGGAAACCCGCTAAAAGAAGCCGTACCATGGTATGTTAGCATGGTATGTTAACACCGACTCCGAATCGCCCGCGGCCTAGCTGAGCTAACGTTCCCACATATTTAGAAGACCTTCTGCGTATTATTATTTACTTAACCTTTGAGTGCAGGTATAACTTTGACTAAAATGTGAAAACATCACAGGACCACATACAAAATGCGACACTCGCACTGACTATGTTAAGAGTAGCTTCCATTAGTTAACATTGTTAGCCAAAGGGAAGCTAACAAGAAGTGGCTGATTTCACCAGTGGGGTCAGGATATTTTAGATCATCAATACAGAGCAAGAATCGCTGCTTTTCGTTAAAATTTAGACATCTGCCATTTTATAAGGCGTAGAATTTTAAACTAGAACGTGTGTGTGTATGATAGTACAATTACAATAACTGATGTTTGGTGATTAAATCAAAGAAGAATCGTGAAGAAAAACAGCTCACCATGTTGGAGTCTGCAGGGAAAAGGACCTCCTCTTTTCCGGCATAGAATGATAAGGTCAACTACGGCAGGCCAGGAGGGACATAAGTGCTGAAAGTCACATGGTAAATTCTTACATACTTCCCTCTGCCTTGCATGTATCAAAGTTGCACTTTATTACTGTGAATCTATTTTTTATATAGCTTTAATTACTACTTACCAGTTAGGGTGATTACATGTTTATCATTAATCTTTATTGGCATAAACACAAGAAAAACATCTTTAAATTTAAAAACTAAAGTACACATAGGCTACAGTATGATTTAAGGAGAGGTTTTTAAAAGGTTTTAGTAAAAAATTGTTATCATAAAGTCAGTGCAATCTCAGGCAATGATGTTTTAAACTTTTCTCTTCATGTGATGTACAGTATCACATATATCACATAGCCTATACCCTCCATTTAAACAACCCCATGCATCATTTAACTCCCTTCACTTCTCTTTCTCTATGTTTCAGAGTGCCCAACAGGAAATGCCAGTGCTGCAGTCGATCTCAGTCCTGTTTGCATTTCTAGAAACAAACCTCTTCCTTGGCTTGCGTCTTCCACTTGCCATCTCTCTCTCAAGGCACCTCTGCTTCCCCCAGGCTGAATGATCTAATCCCAAAGCCTGGGACAAACCTGAACTCCAATAAAAGTGCATACCTATATCTGTGGTGACCTGCTTTACTTTATTTTCTTTCCTTGAGTCATAAACCTTCACAATATGCACTAGTCTATTTTTGGGGGCAGTAGTTCATCTGTTCCCAGCAAAATCAACTCACTAACCTATTATTAATTTTGCTAACAAAAAGAAAAAAAAGAAAAAAAAAGGTCAGCAACATTATAGCCAGCAGCAAGTTAGCATACTGTTTGGCCATGGAGTCCACAACCACAAGGGTTTATAGTAGGATTAAACACACATTTAAGGAGTCATATTAGAGAAACTGAGGGAATACAAAGGTGAGACTTGTTTAAACTGTTTTCTGAAGGCTGCAATTTTGTTCAGTAATAAAGTCCAGCTGACAGCAGTAAGGAAATGAGTGTGTATGGCTTATTATTGTGACGTATGTACGGAAGCGGGGAAGGACAAAATTATAGATACACCTCTAAATATATTGTAGTCCAATACTGTACAACACCACCTTTAACTATGACCTCAGTAATAAACACATAATGGAATTTATATATTTGTGACAGTTTCACCAAAAACTGAAACATTTTGAGCTTCACAAGCACAGATGTTAAGGCGGAAGTGTTGCACTGAATTGTATAAAATTGTACAGGTGTACCTAATAAAGTGGCCAGTGAGTGTACAACATAGTACGGCCCCTGGATGAGTGTTATGTACAGCAATACAAAATCTAGCTCCATGCCACTAGATGACAGCATTGCACAAAATTTTTATGGAAGTCCTGACATATGCAAAGAATATTAGTTTAAATTCATTGAAGAAAAATGGCCAAAGAGGCATTACATAAGTAATTAAAAATAATTTCATGTTATTAACCAGGCGCCTACAGTACCATTCCAGCAGATGGAAGCCTAATACAATTAAGTTAGACTAGGGCTGACAGGAGTCTTAGTCAAATTAAAACAAGCTGAATTCACATTTTCTAATGTGACAAAAATATTTAATCACTGTCACCGTTAAACAAGTCAGCATATATTTTGCAGTTAGGTGTTTTATATGAGATAAGGTCAAATGCATGACAATAATCCACCTGTTCATATTTTTTTTACTGGTGATCTTGATTTAAACAAATACAACTATTCTTTATAACCATTATAACATGAGTGGAAACTGGAAAAATGTAATTTGAACATTTATTTTAAAGGAAAATTAAATCACTTTGATACTTTATGTAGTGTCTGCAGTTTTAATGATAAACATTCTTTCCAGTTGCATTTTAATATTCTTTATTGTTCCCCACACTTCAAAGCCTTAACAAAAATACAAGTTTTCAATATGATTAGTCATTTACATATTCATATAGATGTACAAGTGAGAGCTGCTGAGCAAAAGTGCTTTTAAATTAATCTTTGAATAATATTCCTTTTTGAACAAAACAAGGAAATAAAACTGAAACTTGAACTAACAAACATCAGTCCACAATTTTAAAGGTGAATATGACAAAAATTAAGGAATAAATCGGTGTAGTCTGCTTTAGTTTCACTTGTAAACCTGGCAGCAGAGAGGTGGCTGAACATTGCTGTAACAAATTCTTTTAACATGTATGTATCATGTATATTTTAACATGCTTACAGTATATGTCAGCATGTTGATGTGTTGGAGCATTTTTCATTACCCTGAGGGGCCAGAGGCAAGAGGCCAGTGTGTAACAAATCAAAGTCTGCTTCATTTCAGCTGTACAGATCATTAATGTTTACATGGCTCCATATTTCAAGAAGAAACTGCAAATCAACATCCGAAAATAACACAAGTGTCACTCTGAATGACAAAGGTTTTAAATTTTTGTAGTTCTGGAAACAGGAGTGGCAACTTTTCAGAGTCTCTGCTGGTTGCCTTTTGACTACATAAAAAGTGTCAATAAATAGCCTGGTCCCAAAGCGCTCTCAAAAAAATGGCCAACCTTTACACCTTGGTTTTTGTACAAATTAAACAAATGAGGTGTAACCATAGATCATCCTATTTAAAGCTGTAAAACCCTCTTTCAGAATGTGAAAGTGTAGCCTACTCAGTCTTGTCAAATCTGGAACTGATTTTGTTATTTTCTCTATGATTAGTCTAAACACAAAAGTCCACTTACTCAGCACAGAATCTTTCACCCATATCTTTCTGATGACTGTGGACTTTTGTGTTTAGACTAATCATGGAAACATTTTATACTGAAAATCAAGAATGAACATCCATAATCAAATGCCTAAGAATGTTCAAACAGTTTAAGATTTACAAAGCTTGAAAACACAAATATCAATTTTTTTTTAGTTTTGTCAAAATTATAAAACCTACAAGTCCCGCTACTACATTTCCGCAACATTTTTTTTCTGTTGATAAAAAGAATAAATGCTTCACAGATCTGAGACTACCAGTCTACTTTTATCATTTAATTATCCCCTTAACTGCTGAAAATGAAGTGAGGAATATTTGAGGGTTTGTTGTTAGAAACAAAATAGCTGTGAGATATGTTTTGGTTCAGAAGGCCTCTGTCGGGGTTAATCTGCAATATCGGTGGTCAAGGAAAAAGAGGAAATGAAAGTCCTCAGACAATTCAAACATCTCAACCAGGCAACTTCTCAGGGGAGGGAGGTCCCCTCTGGTTCACTCAGCAAAAAATAACAGTCACTCAGCTGGGACTGAGGCTGCACCACAAAACAACACACACACACACAGACTTTAAAACAATACCGAGCAAACGGAAACAAACATGAGACTGTCTTCAGTCTGAAGAATGTCATTTTGACCCACTTTGTCAACGAGACAGAGGAAGAGAAGAATCAGTGTCTGTCTTATTGAGTTGGCAGCAATGAGAAGCATCTTTCTTTCTTTGTTACCCAGTATGTCACAGAAGTATCTGTTGTAAAGGAAATAAAGAATATCTCTTTAAAAAAAAGATTCTTCTGTCAAAACACTCCTTCAGGTTTTCATTAATTGCTGCTTCTCACCTTCTCATTACAGAAACCTTTGTGCTCAGTGATTGTAACTATGACCTGTCCAGGGTGTACCTCACCTCTTGGTCAATGTCAGCTGGGACTGGCTCCAGCCCCCCTCCCCTTGCATCAGGATAAGCAGTATAGATAATGGATGACTGTAACCAAGACTGAGGGCTGGAAAAGTGTGTGCACTCTTGAGGAACTGAAGTTGTGTGTAAGCTGACCTGCCTGGGTCTAAATAAATTAACAAGGTCCTGACATGATTTTCCTCCAACAGTGGTCGTTAAGTGGATGGATTACCTGATGCCCATTTCCCCTCACACACATTCAGTAATTACATGTTTTCTCCCACTTGAACGGCCTCTCATTTGGGCACTCTCTCTTCTCAGACACACCAACAACGCCGATACCCTGTGGACCCTGTGCAACTGAACAAGTGCTTGTTTCAAGGCTGCTACTCCATGTCCCTGATGTAATACCATCCCCATGCTCTTGTGTGTATGTGCGCGCGCCTGGGGTGAGGGGGTTGGTAGTTTGTTACTCATTAGAAGCAGCAGCTTCTCTGAATGGAGTGTGTCAGAAAGGTTTAACTTTGACTCACTTGTTTGATCATAACATTCTTAAAGCCCGCACTGGTATGAACCAGCATCCTGACCCATTGAAACCAACTCAGTGTGTGTTTAGGTCAGAGTGCTGTGCAAACAGTCGCCCCCAGGACCTTATGATGTCAAAACAGACAAGGCATCTTTATCATCAATATGGAAGTGTGGTAATAATAAGGTCAGGAAAAACCCCCATTTGACACAAAGACAAAAGTGGCAAAACAGGAAAAACAAAAAGATATGTGAATTTGTTCTTTCCATTCAGTTTATATCCACAAACAGACAAAACTTGGTATCCTCAATGTATGTACATGTAGTGGTGACTTGCACTACCAAAAGGCCTCAGTTGTTTTAATAAGGATGTGCTCCATTCAGGTCCCATGTTCCAAAAGATTCCATGTGTCTTGATCTAATTCATTATGTTCAGAAAAGTAGAGCCAATTATAGAGATGCTACAGAAGCACTCCTTGTCCAAGACTACTGATTGATATCAGCCACCGTCTTAAATAACACATTCTGAGTACGACTGCTTGAATAAAATTCAAAGAAAGAGAAGTACATTAAGTTCTCAGACAATCGGCTTCTTTGTGAAGCCAACAGGAGTTTTTTCCCATGAGGCCAGTCTAATATTGTCCACTAAGAAAACAGGAAACAGAGTTTGCATCTTGTGCAAATCTCCTGTAAAGTCATGGTTCCTACTGTTTTCCCCTCAGGTGGTGGAGAGAGGATGACAGTGAGAAAAGAGGGGGTGTCTTTGTCACCTTTGCTTCCAACAGCTGACTCACACTTTCTCTTGTGAATCAACAGGTTTCCATTAAACCAGCATGATAGAGGGATAGAGGCAAGAGGAGTGTCGATTCTGTTCATACTCTGCTCACACTTCTGTTGTCTTCTTTAAAGGAAAAATAAAAATGTGTGAAAGATACCAAACAAAAGGTTATTAATCCTATCAGGTTGGTTTCAACCACCAGTTTTATCCTAGGAAGAAAAAAAAACCTCTGATTGAATGAAATTAAAACTGTTCACACTTTTTCCGCAAAACAACAACAACAAAAAAAAAAACAAGAGTATGCCTCTAATCTCTCTTTCTTTACCACTAAGAGTCTCTTCTGCTTCCTTAGTTTATCAATCAAGAAAGGGAGGGGAAAAAAAATACAACAGTTCCACTGCATCTGGACAGTTTTCTCCTGTAGGTCAGCATCCAGCAGGCACATCTGACATGAAATCAAACTCGTTCTGACCCAGCCAAAGCTCTGGCAGTTCATTGGCTCGGTCCAAGCCGAGCTCTACCACCAGCGACATCAGAACTTCTTCATCCACAGGATCAAAGTCGATAATTCCACCTGTGCCGGAGCCTTGGTTTCCCATACTGATCCCGACGCCCATCCCGCTTCCACCGAGGCCTCCAGATGGGCCCAGAAGCTGGTTTCCGGTGCCCAGAGGTGAGGCGCCGAAGCCCCTCTGAGTTCCGCCGGGTGCTGGGTGTCCAGCAGAAGCACTGGTGAGGTTCTGGTAGTGCGAGTTGAGCTTCTGCAGCTGCATGCTGGCGATGAGATGAGGCCCCGTCTGCAGGCAGAAGGGCTGAGGTTTGGATAATGGCGCCGACGACAGCGTCAACCCAGGTGAGGGGGCAGGGCCGGTAGAGGGGGAGAAGGGCACAACGGAGCTTTTAGAAGAAGGGTAGTGGAGCAAGGATGTGAGTGGAGAGGAGGAGGAGGAGGAGAGGTCCTTCATCGCAGCGTGGGTGTTGCCAGGGAACAACAGTGAGGTCATCACCAGGAATACCCAAAGCCTGCAGGAAGAAAAGGGGGACATAATGCAGTGTCATCAAACTGGAACATGAGGAGGAAGAGATAAGCTCGTTAGTTAAACAGGGGCCTGGTTCCAATGGCAGGTGACATCATCCAGGATAGATTAAAGACTGGACTTAGGTGCAAGAGATACAGGAAATGATTCAAATTAAACCAACACATGTCAAGACCTGCAGAAAAGCATCAAACAGGAAATAAAAATGTTTTGACTTTAGTGCATGCTGTTTATTGTTGCATGGCCTTTATACCTACTGCATTCGGTTCTACCTACAAAAAACCATCATGTCTGGCAAACACATCACAATTTAAAGCAGATGCTTACATTTAAACTAGGAATCCACATAAAATATTCTGTATTTGAATTGATGAAATGGTATGCATATTGATAACACATATGTAGAAGCACCTCTGTGTGACTGTGACTGAGCGATAAGGTATCATACGATCCTGAACTGGCGTTATAGGACCATAATATTTGATTTTGTTTTCTGCTGTTCAGTTCAGGGACTTTGATTCTGGTCTTTAGCTGCTAGGTAAATGTTTCACATGAACATTTTAAGGTCCATATCTCAAAGTAAGCAACACACTCCTGAAGACACAGATTACTAGTGCCCTGTGTTGCACATTTGTTGACTGAAGAAAAGACGACAAATAACTTAAATGGGCATTTAATAGCACTTCCTGACAAATATGCTGCTGTTTCACTCCACAATAAAGGCACTGTTGTCTTAGGAGCAGTTTTACTCATGTTCCTATGACCCAATAAATCACCGAAGTGAGATCTTTCTGGGAAACATACAGCGAGGCAACCCTGGTGCCTGCATGACCGTGTTTTTGAGTGTGATGCCTGCTTTTCCTCTTGACCTATTGAGCAGCAAATTAACCATGAAATGACCGTGGGGAGAAAACCTGTGGGTACCAATGGGGTTAGTAAGTGTTTATGTCTGTGTGTGTGTATGAATGGAGTTCACAGCACAACAGAGCCTTTGAAGATCTAAAAGACTGACCGAGTCACATGGCAGAATAAATACATATGGGCCCTGGGAACAGAGCACATATCTGACCACATGTGTCTGCGTGAACAGGAGAAAATGTGTGTTGCATGAAGCATGACAGTGAGAAAATGTCATTGAGATGTATGTGGAGGTAAAAAGGGCAAGTGAAACAGAAAGTGTGTGTGTGTGTGTGTGTGTGTGTGTGTGTGTGAGGTTCTTGCAAAAAGACTCCTAGAGGCTCATGTTAAAGTCCCTGAGCTGGTTTATATTACACACAGTTCAAAGAACATGTGTGCCTTAACACACACACACACACACACACACACACACACACACACAGAGCTATGCTTTGAGTAAGTTAATCGCCTAATAATATGTGCCGATCCTCTACCCCTTCCCTCTCTTTCTCTGTCCCCCTTACACACATGCTTGTACTTCTTTGTGAGCACACAAACACACACACACTGACATAAAGCATACCCTAGCCACTTACCATTGCTTTAACAATCACAACTAAATGCCTCTGTGCATCTAACATGATCCCTAAAGCTCAAGTGCTATGTCCCAAACAGCTCTTTGGAGCAGTGTCTGAAAGTGGGGACTGGCCAAAATGTCCTCACTTTCTAAATATGTTTTCACTCCTATAGGATAAAACTCAAACTGGTCCTGGCCATACAAGTATACACACACACACACACACCGAGCCCCTTCTCCTTCTGGCTCTTGTTTAGCCAGAACATAATTGCTACAGGCAGGCATGCAGCTGCACTCGACTGATAGCATTAACCCACACACAAAGATACCAAACAGCTGTCAGAGGCAGGTCTGTGTGTTTGTGTGTTCATTATTCATTGACTGATTACTGTCAGGGCCAGGCTGCACATGGCGTTTCTGCTCAACAGCTTTCCAGCACACTGAGTCCAGAAGACACACACACATACACACACACACCAAGCCCTCATCTGCACATTTTCTTTTCTCTGGCACAGCTTTTTATGGGTTTCTTATTACTACCTACAACACATACAAACATATTCTACAGGTATGTTAGAATATGTGTTACATTAAAATCAGCCTCAGTCACACTCGTACATTGCTTTTTTTTGAAGGCACCAAATGTACAAAGGTTGCCCACTGTAGTTTCAAAAAGGTATCACAGTTTTTATTTAAGCCATTTTATGAGCAAAATGTTATGTGTGTCTTTTAGGAGATTTTAGACCACTTATCTGATATAAACTATATCAAGGCATGGGTATGTGGACCTTAGAGTCAACCGTTATATTTCTAAGGAGATCAAATTCATTAAATCTGGTGTTCCAAGGCAAAGTTTTATTTTCAGACTTTAAATTGAGTAAATCTGACTTCTGAGTCCTCAGGAGGCATGAAAATGCCTGGGAGAAGTCAAGAAGAGAGAAATCCAAGGTCCCCCCCCCAATCACATATAACAGCTTGCTTGGCTGAAGACATGCTGTGGCTCATAATAACCCACAGCCTACTGTTTGTCTCTAAAATGAGGATGGATTGGAGTCAAAAATGTCTAAGCTGTTCGCCTGCTAGTTCATTGGAATTAGGACGGATGCTCTGTGAAACTGCTGGAGGAGGGCCAGTGTTTTTTCCCCGTTCACAGCTGACCTGACTCATTGTGTTCTTCCACAACTTTTATGAGACTGTGAAATAAGCCCCAGCTAAATAATTTTGTTAGCAGTCTAGGCTGCTCTGCATTTATTTTAACTAGGAAAAATAAAAGCTTTGCCCTCACCACCACATTGGTGGCTCTTATAGAAAACAATACAGCCCTAAAACAACTGCAGAGAAATATTATTGTGGTTATATTTGCTCTATTGAATGTCAAACATTATACAATTTGTACATCACTCTTAGTGTGAAGTCCAGGGTGACATCTTCAAAATGTAGTAAAGTGCAGCAAGATCAGTTCAAATTCACCATTTAGCTGTTAACTTACATATTTACTTCGTTCGCTGGAGCTTTATAAGAATATATTACTGGATTATTAGCAAAGTGAAGAGATAAGGTGAGCAATTGATTAGTTGAATGACAAATCTTAATGTAAACAGTTTTGACAGATGATTAACCACTGAAGTCACTTTTTCCAAGAAAAAAAGCTTTGCTAATTCCAACTTCTCAAGGGGTGTTACTCTTTGTTTGACATCACTGTAACCTGAATTTCTTTGGATTTTGGACAAAACAAACAAGGCATAACCTTGAGTTTGGGGAACCTTTTGTGATATTTCAGTATTTTCTGAGATTTCCTAAAACAAACATCAACTGATAAAAGAAATAATGAGTTTCATTCTGAGCTACAATGATGTCTTGTCATGTCCTGATGATCCTGTAAGTTTTGCCCAGTTTGATGTTTTTAACTGGATCTTTTCTCAGACCTTCTGTTCTCTGCCTGTGCAAGTTCCACTCGCCCCACAGTAACCCCCGTTTTCCCAGCTTTCCCAGTCCACCTGACTCCCCATGTCCACTAGCTCACCTGTTTTACACTGCCTATCAAATCACAGATTGTATCAGCCCTCTCAATGATTTGCCAGGTTGGTGTGCACCATTCATGTTCTGCATGCTGTTGGTTTTGTTCTTGCCATCCTGCACCTGCCTCTTCATTTCTTCTATTAAAGTTACTTCACTGCCCCCACAGGTCCAACTGTCCCATACTTAAATCTTAAATCAAACTTAAAGTGCATTAAACTCACTCTTAGGTGGGAATATGATAGGAATAATTAAGTCAGTCCATATTAAGTTAGTATGGCTTATGCAAACTTACATGAGTTTCTGTAAGCATATCTTATTTGTGCAAAACCAGAGACGGTGTAACGGAGGTTCAAAGTTAATCCCTGACCTTGAAAACAGCAGTTAGGAAAACAATAACACCACAAAGACTTTGGATCACATCGTGCGATCTTCATCACTTCAGATTTTAAGCCCACACAGACTAGAAGTCCCCAGAACAACACGCACTGTGCACCCTCCACCATCAACCGAGGTTTCAATCACACAATTAAAGCATGACGAGCAAATTGAAACGTCAGTGTCCGTCCCTTTCACACACACGCGCGCACAAGCGCACACACACACTATCCACACCACATGCTGTCGCAGCATGAGCGCAGTCACCACTTGGTTTAATTCGCTCCAACATCCACACTGAAGGCAGTCAGAGAAGCTAATGTAGATTTGTGCTTCTTCTGTCCAAAAGGCTTTTTTTTGGAAAAACAAATTACTCTGAAAAAGTAATTTGTGTCCCAGTGTCACTGAGTTGAGGGGTGAACTGAACTAGGGATTACAAAAGTGCAAGACAAAAAAAAATACTTCTTCCACTGAAAAAAAAAAAAACAAAAAAAAAAAAACAACCCCAAAACCCCCCCCCCCCCCAAAAAAAAAACAAAACTGCAATTTATTTCTGATATAAAGATCATATCAGCGTCAGAGGGTGTAAAGTGATGTAAGATGAGTTTTTCTACACCTATAAAAGACAAAACATGAGCAGAATCCTGCAGCTTGAAACTTTCATTAGACAGATTTACAGCACAAACAAGCTCAGGCTGTCAGAAACACATCTCACAACCAGAGGAAATGGCAGAAATGAACCAACCTGTAAGAAAAATCCTTGTGGAGCCTGACAGCGGAGAGTGCAAAGTGTGCTGCCAGAAGACAAACCAATGAACTACAGCTGCTGCTTTTTTAAGAGAAACAAACAGACAGAGACACATCGGTGGAGTGAGAGCAGAGACTCAAGTCCTCAATGAGCTCGTTACTGAAGCATTTTGTGCCTCTCTCTCTCCCCAGTGTGTGTGTGTGTGTGTGTGTGTGTGTGTCCAGGCAGCCTGCGGACCAAAAACCAGGAACTGGACTTCGAGAGGATTTCGATGGAAGCAGGATGGATTGAGGCAAACACGAGTGGGCGGGACCAACACGAACGGGTGCAATGAAATCAATGTGCACATATTAGAAATCCACATTGACAGTTAGTGATAAGCAGAATATAATATTTAATAATATATAATTGTGAAAGGAGACATTCGGAGTACTTTCATTTTTGCTACTTTAAGTACATTTTGCTCAGAATACTTCTGTACTTGAATTGAAATAACTGTTTCCATTCAGTCTTTACTTGTAACAATGTATTTTTAGACTATAGTATTTTCTTGTACTATTACCTATGTAAAGCATCTCTGTACAGCACTTCAACTACCTACAGCAGGTTATGTAAAGAGCCATCAGCTGCACTGTATAGCGCTGTGCATGGGCGGAGCCGGGGGGGGGTTGATCAGAATCTGATTGGCCCCCCTGGTGCCACCCTTGTAGAAACAAGAAGTGATGCTTTCCAGTATTAATGAATGAAAAATGAAAAGCAACAACAAATTGTTGCCTTAAATACAACTAACATTTTCTGAAATTAGTTTTATATTCATTCATTCATTTAGTTTTATATCAGTAATGTCCCTAGCCAGGAGTAAATAAGGAGTGCTGCCAGTGTTAGTTAAAGAAAAAACACTGTGTGTGAACAGCCTGATTCTTAGTAATCTGTGGTTCATTAGTTCATAGAACTAGGAGTTTCATTTCATTTTTACATGTATGTCAAATGTGCCACCCGTCTCTGAGTATGTGCCCCGGCCCCTGGCCCTGTGTCATTTAACGCAAAGTAAGAAGTCAGGGTACAGTAGCTGAGACATTAGAAAGTTTATTGAATATTGTCGCATCCTGACAAGTTAAGACACAGGCAGTCTACAGACTTTTAAAATGTGCATTGTACATCATCAGTGTGTCTGCATTATTTATTAAGGTTTAGCAACTAGAAGCACAAAAGTTCAAAGTGGTTCCCATGCTCTTATGGTCAGGAGTAAATAATCATATTGTGGCATCCTTGCATGGATAGTGAAAAGATTAAAAAATGGTTCTGTACATTTATAACGACTGAAAGCATAAAAACACAATCAAGGATTTGCTGCATTGCCCAGGACCAACAGTCTGTCTAGTGAATGGATCACAGCATCACCAACCTTAATTTGTCTTGATGAGCTTTTGTGAAGATGATGAATGTCCTTCAGACTTTAATGACTTTTACAATGGCTTTGACACATTAAAGCATCCCAGGAAGCCATGACAGTGTGTTAGCAATGGCTCTCATCCAGTACATTAATTGCACCTGTGCTTGTCAAACGTTCACGGCTCCATATCTGTGCAGATCCAGCCTCCAGAGTTTTGAAGCTCCCACTTTGCAGGGTAGATGTTGCTCATTCTGAAGCATCAAGTATCAAACAGACCAGTGCAGACTGGCCACAGAGAGGGACAGAGACCTGGCATGTCTGTGAATCATCTGCATCACTACATAAATAATGTTAGTTTGTTGAAATGCAACAGTTTGTGCACTGCTTAGGTCATGCCGAATCTCAACAGCTCATTTATCAGCTTTTAAATATGAAACAACATCTGTGGAAAGGCTGAATCACAGAATGTCCTTGATTGTCAATGTCATTAAACATTTTACTGCCATTAGGAAAGTGGTCTCTGTTTGTAGTTTAATTGTATATTTAATTGGTGGAATTGGTCATACTTTGGTTTGGTTAGGTTTTAGTCTGTCATAAAACAAAATGTAGGATAAAATCACCACATTTAAAACTGTAAAATGCTCATTTTCCAACCTGCATCTCCGTTTTTCCTGCTGCAACAAATGAATTTACACTATCCTACCATATGTTCCAGGGTTACTGGAAGACAAAGCAAATTTTAAAGTGTTTTTTTGAAGTCAGAGGTGATCACTGATGGTCTACAATCACAGGATAGGTCTGCTGGACTGTTAAAATGTTTAAAAGTCTGTTGTCTGTCACCTGCAGTGGCTTAAACCCCACACCAGGCCCAATGAAAACCAGATTCTCTTCTCCTCTGGGCCCATTTAGCCTGTTTTGTTCATAAGGGACAAACAGTGACTGTTTGGGAAAAGAAAAATCACTGAAAGTGTTGTGGGGAACCTCCACCAATTCATCCAAGGAAAAAGCCCTGCTGTCCCTCCTCCATCTCCTGCTCAAAAAGAACAAGTCTATTCCCCATTCCCCATTCATCTCAGTGATCTGTGGTAGGGGGGACGTCACTACGCGCCAACAACATGCCTCAACGCGGTCAAGTGCCACGTGCTCGGCCTCTCTTCCGTTAAGCAGATAAAAAGCGGCATCTGTCTTTATTGTGTGAGTAAATCCCCTCCACCATTGACCACAGACACTTCACATGTTGATGTATAGATGCAGGCCCCTGTCATTTTGTTCCCCTGGGGGAGACGTTATGCAAATCAAACAAACCGTTTGTGATTTCCATCTCTGAGGACAATTAATTATAACATGTTGGTCAAACTGCCAGAAGTGGACTTTTGTCCCAAGGTTGGTGGATTTGGTTGAAAAAGTGCTTCCCAGTATTCCAAACCTATGAAAACTTTTTTTTTCTTGTTTTGGAAAATTCCCAAAGCTGAGGCAGGCTTTGAAAGACTTAGGCAAATGTTTAGAGCAGCTGGAGCCACAGAACAACAGAGGAAGAAGGAGGACGGGGCTTCGGGTTATCAAATTAATCAGCAGTGAGGGCCAAATGAGATGTTATTCAAAGCTAAGTTGCGGAGGGGCCTGGTGCTGATTTGCATAAATCGTTGGGAAAGAGCAATAAAGGTGTGTTCAAGCCAAACCGGAACGGGAAATGTAGTAAATAATAACCTGTGGATCACAATGAAAACCACCTGTTTAGCTACAGTCTGGTCTGTCTCAGCCTCAACTACAACTGTGCTTAGTAACTCATCACCTTCTATTTAAGCCAAACTAAATCCAAAGCTGTGCTCCACAGATTCCAACACTAGCTCCCTCTTTCCTACTGGAAAAAATAAATCTTCATGTGTCTAGAGGAAGAAAATGTCTCCCAAAGACAAATTACAAATGAATTATAGCAAAGAAAAGCCCAAGCTCATTTACTGTAATTTCCGTGCTCTGAGAGGGCTGCAAGTGCACAAAGGTTATTTAACACACACTGTAAATTGACACGGGCCTGTTGTTCCTTGAAGTCATTTCATTATAGGTTGTCCTTGACCTACCTTTGTGTAACTTCTGACCAAACAGAAAAACAAGGAAACTGATCATTTGTCCTACATTCATTTAATAGACTAGATTCGATCTTTTGAATGTGAAATGGCCTGTTTCAGCTCATAAATTAAAAGGCTTGTGTTCTAAGTTTGTAATAGTGACATTTAAAATTACAGTATATTCACCTGCTAGTTTAATTTGGACCCACACAGGAAGAGTAGTGTAAAGAAGTGTAAAGCATAGTGGGGCCTTCACAGTCTGGCTGGGAAGGTAGAAAATACTCTAAACGTTGTCTTGTATTGTCTAATATTCTGTTCTGTTAGACTTGCTACACTCCCATTCACCTCAAAGTCCAGATCCTCTATGTCTTCTTCTAGCATTAGCACTGGATATAAATCATGAGGTGGAGAAAGGTCAAAAGCAGATGTACTTCCAAAGGATACTGGGCTGAAATCCAATGTTGTGGCTCCAGTGCTGTAAATACAACAATGAAGACATGAAGTCAAGAGCTCCATCGCTTTAAATGCTTTTTCCAGTTTTGCTTGACCACATTTCACACCAGAAACAACCAAAAGGACTCAGTTTCCTCTTAAAAATAACCCCACCTTTTGCTTTTTTTTTTGTGACAACCAGAAATTCCCGCGGTGCCCTGAATCTGCCCAGGGCCTGCCTGGCACCGTGTAAACCCCCAACCTCAACCTATGAGATAGAATTTCAATGGTCTCTCCTTTTCCAAACTCGTAAACAGTGTAATGAGTTTCATTTGCTTTGGCTACGTTGGGCTCAAACCACTGAGGTGACTGCAACAGTGTTCATAAGGATCACAGGGGAATCCTGTATCACACAAACACACACATGAGCTCACTTCTGTTCAGCACATGCCAGCTGTGACCAGTGACTCCTACATTTGGTTGAATTTCCAGATCATTTATTTGGGGAACATCATTTCTGAGGGGAAACATTTGAGGGTCCTCTTTTCAAATAGTACTCTCCATTAACCAGGCCACTGCAGCAGAGGCACACAATAACACGCTCTCCTGTCTTTTATTTCAGCAAACGCCAGTGGTAAACATCAAAACACATCAACAGTTTAAAAAAGTCATTCTATGACAATATCAGTTCTCAAAATAAGTGATCGATGAACTTAATGTTCAAATATTCTTACACAGGTTTTCATGTTTATCTAGATTGGATTTGAAGCTTTTTGTCAAATGATAAGTTGGGTTTTGTGAAAAGTGCCACACATACATTGAGAATTAAACATGGTGGAAGTATCTAAACTTAAAATGTGTTATTTTACAGTCAGCAGCTTGTTAATAATGACAAGATAAGGCAAGAGTTCCCTTTAGTTTGTCTACTTTTAAAAAAGTGAAAAGAAAAATATCAACAGATGAATCCTAAAATATAACACTTGAAAAGTATAGAAGCTTTCCAACCATCTACGACATAGAAATAACCAGATGATGACTTTGCATCCTTCTTCAGGGGTGTGGAGGAATCTTGAAACGCAGTGTTGTTCCTAGAAAGTCTGATATGTGGCTTTTAAAATGTTTTCATCCTCTGTACATTTATTTTCACAATATCCATGTGTAACCATTATGACAACCGCTTTTAAAGCAACTACATTAAAGATCGTGTTTAATTTTAATAAAATAACTGTTAATTCTACAGATTGCCTTCCACATTGCAGGTCCATTTCCTCCACATGTACCTAAGAATCTGGTCGATGTTCCGGGTGAAACTATTTAGACAAAAGGCTGAGTAATATTTAAGTGTTTTATTGCCAGTGTGAAAAACAAGTTTTAATACCTCCAGTTTGTTTTGTTTTTTTAAGAAAAACCATTTGGTATTTCAGAAAAGAAACATAGTCTGAACTCTACCTTAGCAAAACAGATTAAATTTGGAAAACCAATATTAAAATTAGCTACTAAAACCTCTACAGAAAACCTCCTTAAGGTTTATGAAATCATTGCTATTGTCTGTATATGGAAAAATCTTCTTAGCTTTCCCTGAATATTTTCCATTTAAAATTCCAAACTCTGTCCAGATGTTTAATTTGCAGATTTTGCCCAGGGGTCAAAACAATGTGGCTGAGCAAATCAATCTCTAACGTCCGTAACCAGCTATTTTCCAATTTTTCCCAGACTGTTTCTTTCTAAGTTCTCTAAGTGTCTGTGTATATTTCACATACTTTTCAGGACTTTCAAAACCTGTTCAGGAACACAAGGTCTTTTTTTAAAGCATAATGGGGCATTTGGGGAATGTGGCTGTTTCACTTTTTGTCTGTTACAGTGCTTATCAGCCCTCAGCGGGCTAGAATTGCAGCAGCAGCACCAGGGTGAATGTGAAACCCAACACCTAACAAATCTGTTTTTCCATTTAGTTTACAATGTGTGACTGATAGAACGCACATGAATGCATCCTTTAATGCCAAGAAACTTGGGGTACACCGACTATAAAATCCTGCTGTAATTTACTTTTACATAACCACAATGAACATACCATAAACTCTCTAGTTCACACAAACACACATACGTTAAAAAAAACAACAACAAAAGATTAAAATGAGTGAACATTGTACAGAGACCACATCATCCCCCCGATTAAATTGTTTTCCCCTGGAAACACTCAACTAATGTTTTCCAAAACCTTCTCTCGCTCTCTTTCCTGCCTTCATCCCTCCCTCCTTCACTCTGTGCCTCCAGGCCAAAGGGGTCTGCTTCATATTGTCTTCATTAAAGCTGCTGAGGATGGATCTGGTTTGGAAACACTGTGTGTGTGTGCGTGTGTGTGTGTGTGGAGGAGGCTCAGGCTGCTGGCTTCTAAACCACGTTCTTTAAGTTCCCTGTAAACAAGAGAAAGACAGCGAAATCTGAGCAGTGGTGGATGTGTGGGGCACATGGGTGAACATGTAACAGCACACATAAGGATGACAGAGGAGGAAAATGGTTAAATTCATTACATTCAAGTGGCAAAGCGAGGCTAAACACACATATTAGACAGCAGGAGAAACCAAACCAAAGGTGGAATTAGCAGGGAGGAGAAACACACATATACACACACTCACACTTGTACCAATGAAAATGCAAAATAACATCTGGCAGGTAAGTCCTGGAAGGAAATACTGAGGAAATAGGGAATCAGTATGGATACGTTAGGAAACAGCGGACTCCCGATCAGTCTGCCTCTGCATCTTAAGGAAAGCGCTGCTGAATCTGGAAGTTTAAAGCTGCTGTCGGCTTCACCTTAGAAAAATTCTTTACATTTGTGGAAACTGAACTCATGTTTATGTTACTACAATCAATGTTTCAACAGAGGAAGTGGAAAAAAACAAAGCATTTTCCCATCGATGGCTGTTTTAACTGTACAACACACAGGCCTGCAACCTTGTTTTTACTGTGAACTTACTATGATCGACAAGCCAAGCTCTAAACTGTAGGTGTGCTCAACTACAGCAGACGTCTTGGATCACTTTACATAACAGACAACCAGACAAAGCTACAGACAGCAAAGTGAGAGCGGCATTAAGTCTCCTACATGGTGGGTTTCAGAGAGGAGTAGCACATTAGTAAAAAGTAACTGAAACCTCTAGTTCAATGAAATAATAAACCATACATTAAGATGCAAACTGTTTATTTTGTGTACAAATGAGATCTGCTGTGCTCTTTATTTACTCCCAGCCAGGGACATCACTGCTGCACATGCATTTTCCCTTATTTTTTGGTGCTGTTTAAATGAAATGTGTTCCTGAAAATAATTGATAAATAAAGAAGATGCAGACTGGCCTTTTCCTTTCATTTTTCACCCCCATCAGTTCCCTCTATTCCTCCATCCCTCTGCTTCTCCTCCTTTTTTCCAGATGTAGACAGTAAATTCTAGCAGTGATGATCGTCCACAGGGGCCTCTGATATTTACTACCTGCAAACGTTAATCCATCACAATGTCTGTGGGTGGGTCTCATACTGTATGTGTGTGTGTGTGTGTGTAATATCTGAGTGTGCCCAGTTTAATGACATGGATGTATATCTTTGTGTAAATGTGTGACATGACAATCATTTTGTCAGCAGAGGAAAGAATTAATGAGCAAGAGAAGAGGCATGTAAAGGTGCTGCAACACCGCTGGCACACACACAAACACCAACAAAAGATACAGTCACACAGACAAGGCCGGCAGGTTACATGCAAACTGACGACGATGAACACACACACACACACACACACACAGAAGCAGCCCTTGGGGAAATTACACTACCAGAGTCTTGTAAACAACTGTGACTACACAAACAACCACACAGCTGCCACTGCCTTTGACTCTCACCTAATAAAAATTACACTTTGATTAATACAGACGCTTAACAAGCCACAGAGTGTGTATGCGAAGGAAACAATACGAAAGACTGAGAAACACTGGAAAAGACTATGCCTCATATTTTTTGCACTGGCCTGATGCCTTTAATGCTCATCACACTGGGTGTCATTTGTTTATTTCCCCACATACATTTACTAAAAATATAACTATTACCAGCTGTCACGCACATACTTGGTGGCTTTTATGATTCCACAACATGAACTGACTTGCTAATACAGGATTTTAGACAGCTCTTTACTGGCCGTGCCACTGCTGTGAATCTAGGTGTGGTTAAAGTCTGTCCAGATCTTTTTGTGCACCAAAATAAAACTGCAATCCGTCCGACAGCTGCTGAGATATTTCACTCTGAGCATAAATCTTAATGACAGGACAGCAGATCAAAATTTCCACTTGTTCAACACTTTAGTATCTCTAAACGGGGGTGGCTATGGCTCAGGGTAGCGCCGTCGTCTCCCACCTGGAAGGTTAACGGTTCGACATATTTATATGATGCATGCGTAGTGTTATTGAAACACATGGATTAGGCACATAACACATGCTGAACAAAAATGAAACAAGAGAAGATTTTTGGGAAGACTCACATTTTTATGGTTCACTCATGACAGACAGAGCAGACATGGGCTTGTGTGTGTGCGCACGCACACAAACATACAAACTCACACTGCCAGTTTCTCAGGGAAACCAATGTTTATAAGCAGCACAGCACTTCCAAAACCAAAGAACCACTTATCCACCCCAGTGACGTCATGTAGCTGTGTTTGACAGAGGTGTGTGTGCGTCCGTCTGTGATAGCCTGTCCTTCCTCTGTATTCGTGTGTGTGTGTGTGTGTGCATTATTAAAGTTGGCAGACAACAAAACATGGACATTTACTCCAATACAAAAATAATAATCTGTTCATTTCTCCTTGAGGTTTTGCCGTCTTGCTTGTTGTGTGGTGTGTGTGAAAAGTAGTTAGTGACTTGACAGAGAGCAGAAGTTGCTAGAAAAGACAAATACATGGAGCAAGGAAAGAAAGAAAAATCTGGACAACGACATAAAACAGATGTGACAGGTTGAAGCTGACTGAATTGCTGGTGTTAGAGGGAGAAGAAAGGAAAGAGAAGTGGGCAAAAGTCCTCCGGATTCACACTTAAACGGGTGAAAATGACAAAGAACAAGAAAAAATAAAAGGTCAAGAGAGTCACACAGGATCATCTTGTCCAAAAAAAACACTTTTGGTTTTTTTTTTTTTTTTTTTAGAACTTGTGATGACTGAAAGTTGTTACATCAAAGATATCCTGATATTTACACACTTAAAAACACTCCATTATAGAAATTTCCTTCCTCAGTGAGCAGAAAAAGTACTGTTTTCTTAGACTGAATCACCTCTGACTGTGCAAAGGGAAGAATGAGAACAATGGACTTGATAAATGAGGCAGATGGGACACAGCAGCCAAAAGCATATTTTCCATGTTTCTCTCCATCACTGGCTTGTCTGTGTTTTATTTCTCCTCCCTTTTAAACTCTGTATCCATCCATTCATCCACTGATTCCCTCTGTTGCCCCTAATAAAAGCAGTATGACTGGAAACCAGCGATAAATCCCTCCGGTTGCCATGATTTAATGCGAGCCAACAGACCAGCTGAATTTCTGCAAATAAATTTCTGCTCCCCTGATTTGATGTGACCTGGAGTCTTTCAGATCAGAGCACAAGGCTGTTTGGGTAAACCGCTCCAACATCCATCCAATATGGTTTTTGTCTTTTGCTACAGTACAGCGACCAGTGTTTAAATTTATGAAGTTTTCGTTGCTATTCCAGACAACATCCACGCTTAATCCAGATACAATTTTCCCCCCATTCTGGCTTTCCATTCATGATGAGCCAGAGTTTTCCACCAGCAAAACGGAGCTCCCCACTGAGTAAATTTGACAACAACAGTCCCACCCTGGATGGTAAAAACAGGAAAAAAAAAAAAAAAAAAAAAATCTATATCTAGATATAGATATATATTTTGGCGCATTTACCCAAAATTCAACATGATGCCACGTTTGGAGCATCATGCTCATTATCAATCAGAGTTATCCCATACAGCTACACACAATAGCAGATGCTTCTACTACATCCAAACACCCACTTTAGTGTGCAGTTTGAGCACAGACAGGACAGAAATGGATTCATCTGTAGTGTCTGTGTTATCCTTCAACAGCTGCTAGCCAGCGTTAGGTCCCAAACTGAGAGCTCACATCAGTGCAGAGTCATTTTTCAGTCTGTCGCTCTTGTAGATGGGATCTCTAGGCGCGCTATGAGTCAGCCACAGTCAGCTAAGGTTATCCATTCTGAATTACCACAGTCAGTAAAGTGAGATCTTAACAATTCAGACAACTTTTTAGTCAAACAAAACAAGAATGCATGCAGGTAAATACAGCACATACCTCCAAAAAGGCGCCCTGTCCCAACATTCAACACGGCGTGACGTACCTGGCACTATACTCTATATAATGCCCTCAAAAATTCCAACATTATCACCAAACAAATAATGCAACAGATCATAGATGTTTGGACCCATCCACAGAGTAGGGACACTTTATCAATGAGACGTAGCTTGTCAGTTTCAGAAAGCAGCAAAAACCTGAGCATTGCAGAACCTGAACTGTCCACCCATGGGGAAATTGCCTTTTACTAATCCAGATGTTGATTCAATGTGGACCACAACCACTGTGGAAAAAAAAACAAAAAAAAAAAACATCATTTGACCCCTTGACGTCTATAATGTTTCTGATCTGAATACCAGAAAGTCTACAGAGTCTGCCCATGCAGGTGAAGTAAATGAAAGAACAATCTCACCTTCCTCAATGACTGTTGCTGCGATGCCCCTTAATTCAGTTACTACAGAAAACAATGTCCAGATATTTTGGATTAAAAAAAAAGGAATAAAACAGTCTACTGGAGGTTAAAAACAGTACCTTAAAATGTTGGCCTTAATTTATGTAGTCTCTCCAGAAATCACTGTTTTCAGCACCTTTTCTTCAATCAGTAACAGTCACACATACAACATGCGTAGAATGAACCTGCTGTGTCTAATATATTTAACAAAATCAGGCAATTGAAGGAGGATTTCCTGTTGGTCTGTGGTTGACATTTCTTCACAGCTTGACATTTATGAGACACCAAATCTGGGCTATGTATGGTTTAATGTTCAGAAAATGAACTCCGCTCCTAGACATACTCCTCGGCCACTTCTGTTTCGGTGAGTTGCGTCCTTACAATCATTCTCCTTCTGCTCAACTTTTTGCCTAAGCTTCACCCTGCCAGAGGAGCTCTCCTGAGTGCTGAGGGCTGTCAGCTCCGAGACCAAAGGCCCCGTCTATGGCTCAACCACACACGCTTGAAGATGACTATACAAACATATGGGAACATATAGGAAGAGAAAGGTGCAAAAGGAAAAATACCACATGTACTGAGAACCAGAGTAGGGAAGTTGTGGCTGAAAGAGCGGTGTCGCCAGTACATGTGCACGCACACGTGCACACAAAAGGATATTAAGAGCCACAAGGAGGGGAGAAGAGAGAAAAAGAACAAGACATACTTTCATCCCACACAGAGACATATAGAAACATGAACACATAACCCACACATAAAAAATGCATGCAGAGACAAAAGGGCTTTAGATGACTGAGGGCTCGGTAAGACACACACACACACACACACATGCATGCATGCACACCTGTTTATCTTCCACACCCTGACCCACACAAACAGACACAGTTGCACATCCACCCAGGCATATCTCTCATACACACCTTTGATGGTGCTGATGACCTGGTCCAGGTGTTTGGTGTCATTGCGGTCTGGTCGACAGCTCGGGCTGATTTCCAGCGAGTAGTCTGGTCCATATTCTGTAAAAAACTGAAACGTGCACACAGATCACATCACAACAATCATCAGTCAGTGTCTGGATTTATTGATTTTAAAATTACATTTCTTTTTCCCTTTTATAGTCAAACCTTCATCCCTCACATCTGCACACAGTCACTGCAGCAGAGTGCCAAAGTGCCCTTTCTCCTCTTTATTTCATTCTTTTCTTTCTTTTTTTTTTTTAAAGAATGCAGCTCCTTCGCTGGAAAAATTTGGGCTTTGAAGAACTGGATTATGAAACTGACTGGTGATGAATATTTACACAGGCTTTCACAGGAATTATTTCTTTAAACAAATCTGAAATAAATTTATAACAGTGGAAAACACCAAAAAACAAAAGAGCTACAGACTTTCTTCGGATACAACCTGCCTTCTTCTCTTCTCAACCAGTTAAATCCCTTTTCATTGGTTCTGGTTGCTCTGATAAAATTTCCCACCCCACCACGCCATTGTGGGTTATCGTGTGCACATTCACTTAAAGTAGTACCAGTAGCTCCAGCACTAATACTAGGAGTGACGGCAGTAGTAAATGAGGTTTTTCCTCACTGTTTCAACTGAATTAGATTAGAAAAGTGATGCAAGAACAAGATATACTATGTATATTTTACTTAGCAACATAAGCTACTGGCATTTTGTGGTCTCTCTCTCTCTCTCTCTCTCTCTCTCTCACACACACACACAAAACATCATTCATGTTAAAGGCTAGCTGACAAATTTGCCTGATAGCCATCATAGCCTAACTTCAAAATGCAGTTTAAATGCTACCAAACAATAAATGTAAAAAGCTCTACCCTAGACAGTCTGACATTTGGAATAAGTGTTACTCACACTGTGTTGTCACAAAATAAAATAATGTTACTCTTAATTGACACACAGCAGACTACACTGTGGACAGCTGGTATCTTGGACTACTGCGTGAACATTTGTAGGAGAACTATTCCCACCCTCCCCGTTCTGCCAGCACGACCTGGATGCACAAAAAGGTCACAGAATGTACTGGACAAGTCTGAAATAATGACAGTGCAAAAAGAAACATCAATACACTGCTAAAGTTACATGGAGGAGAACATGAACGTCTGCACCAAATGTCATTGCTATCTATTCATTTGTTGTTCAAAAGTCAAGGGATCACCACAGTCATTAGAATTCTTCCTCTGGGCACCGTGTGTATAAAATCTTATGGTACCCCATCAGATACATGTTGATTTCAATCTGCCATCCCTAGATCCAAGCCACCAATGTGACTAAAACAACACTCAGAACATTCAGATGGACATGTTTCCTTATACTTTCTGATCTTGCTGTGCTGCCTAGGAGTGGCATTAACACAAACAAATGCATGACCGTCTAGTCTGGTTCATGTAGAGAAAGAAAATCTAATGCAGAACAGAAGAGGAACCACAAATCAGTCAAACTAAGACAGCCTGGGCCTCACCGACATGAAAAAAAAAAAGCCTGAGATGATTTCAGCAAATACCAAAGGCTCCTAGCATTTCAAGCAGTCAGACTA